TTTCCTTCAATATCATTTTATTGTGTTCATATAATACAATGAAGACATTAAATAAAGCAATTTTGAGCACAGACTTGCCATCACATACTCAATTTACAAATTTGATCAGTTTTGCTATCATATTAGCTTTAATTTAACATAAAGTATTTCCAATAGCAGCTCTATTTTTTATAGCACCATGAAATTTCAGTTTTTTAATGTTATCTGAGGCTTTTTATCAATGGTTGGCCACAGGAACTGTGCTATAAAATATTCACTTAATTCATTAAATATCTTGAATGACATAAAAGCAGTGGTGTCCTGGAGATTGTATTAGCTTGTGAGAACTAATTTTTAAAGTTTTAGGAATTTTGTAAGTCATTTGTGAAACACAGCTATTACTAAAAATTAAATGATTTAGACTTATTAAGTAATTATAATGAGGTGGTAGATACTCAAAACTTAGCGCTGCCTTATTATTTTACTACACTGTACTGTGATCTGTACTCTTGAGGTGCTTTTTCTGGTCTGCAGTATCCTCATGGTGAAAATGACACATAACGGCATGCTGCTGTGCTCCTCCTGTGACTGTCGGTTTGGTACCAACTGCATGTTGGTATCTTGAAATATACCACAGATCAGGGCTGGATTTCTTGTTTTGTTTATTTGAACAAAGTTCAGCCAAATTCAGTGAAAGCATTCCATGAGAATGGGATTTAAAATAAAAACACTGTGTATTTTTTTATTTTAAATTGTATGCTATGCATCTTTCACATCATTAAAGTTTGTAAGAGCCTTATGTGTTTATGTAACTTTTCTGGAGGGAGTCACGCACGCTACCTGCACACCACTGCAGCCAAGCTGGAGGGAGTCATGCACACTCCCCACACACCACTGTAGCCAAGCTGGAGGGAGTCATGCACACTCCCCACACATCACTGCAGCCAAGCTGGAGAGAGTCACACTCCCCGCACACCACTGCAGCCGTGGTGACCGAGCTGCTTCCATTCCCCTCTGCACCTGTGGGTTTGACTGTTTGAACTTGGGTTGTGTGAGCTGCTCTGTTTTCTTACATTTTTGAACTCAAAATTCAAAACTGTTGGTGACCACATATTTCAGCAGCATTATTGAGATGTAACACATGCCCCACAATCATCCATTTGAAGTGTACAATTCAGTGTTTTAGTGTATTCACAGGATGCAAAACCATCACCATCATCCAATTTTAGAACATTTTGTCCCTTCTTAAAGCCACTCTGTACCCATTAGCAGTCAATCCCCATTCACTCCTCTACCCTCGTCCTGAGCAACCATCTACTTCATATCTATGTAGATTTCTTTTCTGGACAATTTATATAAAAAGAGTCATGCAATATGTGTTTTCTGTGTGTGGCTTATTCTGCTTAGCTTCATGTTTTCCATGTTCACCCACGGCAGATCCTGAGTCAGGACATCATCCCACTTTAGGGCAGAGTAGTATTCCTTTCCAATGTCACATTTTGTTTATGTATTCATCAGTTCAGGGACATTTGAATTGTTTCCACTTTTTTGGCTATTATGATTATGCTGCTATCTTGTACAATTTATTTTTCTAGATGTATGTTTTCATTTCTCTTGAATATATATGCAAGTGTGCCCTTGTTAAGTCATCTGTTTAATTTTTCAGGTTACTCTCAAACTGTTTCAAATACAACTGCCTCATTTTGTGTTTCTACCGGCAAGGCCTGAGGATTCAATCTCTCCCAGTCCTCACCTGTACTTACTGCTTCTGATGATACGACACTAATGAACATGAAGTGGGACCTCACTGAAGCTTTGATTTACGTTTCTCTGATGACTAATGATGTCAGTGATCTTCCCTTGTGCTTATTTGCCATTTGAACATCTTCTCTAGAGAAATGTCTCTTCAGGATCTTTAGTATTTTTTGAGTGTTTCAGGTTCACAATGTAATGATCTAATTATGTGCATATATTGCAAAATGATCACAGGAAGTCCAGCTAGCATCCATCATGATAAATGGTCACAAACATTTTCTTATAAGAACCCATAAAATCTCCTCTCTTAGCAACTTTCAAATGTATGATGAAATCATCATCTCTAGCGACCGTGCTGGGCACTGCATTGCCAGCAAGCCTTTAGCCATGTCGGGGTTTCCTTGTACGCGGGACTCACTCAGCCCTGCTGCTCCTGAGACCTCCTCTGCCCTCGGCAGTTGGTTTTTACACTAGAATGTGTCTTCTTGTGGGTTTCTTTGTTTTCATGTGCTTGGGGTTTATTAAGCTCCAAGGTCATTGAATATATTTCTTCCATCTCCTCAAGGGCCTCCTTACTCCTTATTTTCTTACCATGAACTTTCGGCTTACATACGTTGTAGCCCCAACACCTGAAGGCATTTTTGAGTTTTAGTACAGGTGTGGATGTGACCTGAGCTTGAATCACAACCGCAAGTAAGCAGATCACATGATGAACGGTGCATGTGATTTCAGTGTTACCTTGATAGCACTGAGCCTGCAGTTTCTTGAGGGGCTGCTGCAGATCACCAGTGACAGGGAGGCACCTCCTGTGTGCTCCTGTGCCTCCGCTGGGACCTTCCGTGCTCCAGCACATACTCCCCACAGCTGGTTGCTAACAGCCACCCAAGGACTCCCAGGCCTCACCCGCGGAATTGGAAATGTTACTTTCTTTGGAGAAGGGTCTTGGTAGATATGATTAGGTTAAGGATTTTGAGGGAGGTGATTACCCCGAATGATCTGGTTGGGCCCGAAAAGCCATTCTGTGAGTCCTTATGAGAGAGGCATGCAGAGGAGAGACGTGTCAAGGAGGAGACATTGGTACAGTCCATCCTCAGGCCACGAATGCCCGCAGCCGTCAGAGGCCGGGGGTCCAAGGCTCCCCCGCCGCCGAGGCCATGTGGCTCCACACACACCTCTGATTTTGGACTTCTGGCCCCTAGACTATGAGAGAGTACATTTCTCTTGTTTTAAACCACCCATTTAGTGGTAATTTGTTACACAAGCCATAGGACATTCATATGCAGCTCTAGCAATGATTCATTTGCTCCTCATCTTCTGTGCTAGGCTGTGGGCTCCACGGAGACCTGGATTGCCTACACCACAGTCACTACGCCCCAGTCTTTGTGGGATGTTTGTTGAGGGCAGAACAAACAGGCTGTGACTCCTGTACCACTCATAGCCTACTGATGGTACAAAATTAGTCTGTTTCTGGTTATTTAGTGAAGGAACCAAAGGAAACTACACATTTTTTTGGCTGGGAGAAAAGAAGACAAACTTTTGCGGGTGGTTTTGCTGGTGGGATAGGAGTTAGATCTTGATTTGCAGGCTAGGAGAAGTGGGTGTTCTCTGAGGAGTGGGGTGGTGGGGGTGGGCATCTGGAAGGGTGCCTCCCAGACACCATCCTCTGAGCTGCAGCCGTTTTCCAGGCTTGTCCCTGCCATGCTCCCCGCTACCCCTCAGTGCCCCCACTCGTATGTGTCTGGCAGCACAGGCTGTGAGGGACTATCTGTGGGGCCCAGCAGAGAAGAGGTGGTGCCTTGAGATGTTAAAGGAGAGAAGTGACAAGGGTTGTGGCCTAATGGGGAGCCACACGCATCACTGGTCCTGGTGAGGAAGCAGTTCAGACTGAGCGAGAAACACCTTGCTGTTTGGTCACGTACGGCTCGCATGTCTCATGTTGCAAGAGAGTGTAGGTACGTGTAACGTGTGTGTAGCATTTGTGGGGTCATCTGGAGGCACTGCTTTCTGCACAGCTGCTTCCAAGACCTGTTGTAATCAGAAGTCAAACCATGGAAAAGCACTGTGCACTAGCTTCCAGTGTCACAGTGATCGCGGTTGGCTGGGACTCTGTTCAAAGAGGCTTTTGCCATTTGGCTCAATGGTTGCAAAATCATTTTGCTGCTCCATCACCCCTTGTGCTGCATTCCAGCAGCGGTAACTCTGCCCTGTCCCTTCAGGTCGTGCCTCGATGTCTGCATCAGAGCACTGTGTGTGCCTATGTGTGTTTGCAAGCAGGGAGCCCTCCCTGTAAGATTAATTTCTTGTTTCGTTCCAAACCCTTTTTCCTCTCTGTCATCTATGGGGACTTGTGGCTTTTTGCTGCACCTGGCTCTGCCAAGGCTTATGCCTGCTTGGACTCCTGCCCACCCCAAATTCTCTTTCTCTCAACAAGCTACTTCATCAAGAGGTGATGTCTTTATTCTCTGATCTCCAGTAGAACATTGCTTATGTTTTTGTCATGACCATCAGAATGGCAAGAACCACAATTCACCTAGTGTCCATTGTAGACTGACTGTTGGGCCGTACCCTTTACATACATCATCTCATCTAATTCTTAAAATTCTATTATCTCTGTTTTCCAGTTGAGAAAACAGAGCTTTGAGAAAACTGAAATTTAGAGAGGCTTAAGTGATTTGCACAAATACACATGTTCTGAGTGGAGGACCCAAAGTCCACACCTAGATAACCTCTAGCACTCACGCCTTTAATCTGCGGTCCCTTAGTCTAATAGTGACAAACAGGCGGTGCATTTTCCTTCCTAGATTATATGACTAAGAATTGAGATGCCATGCTTTTTCTCTTATTTCTCTACCAACTTCCAGTACCAGCAACTCAATAAATATTGATTAGATGAATGAACCAATATCTAGAATGAAATTAGTACAATGAAAAATTACTAGACCTTAAAACATATTTTAAAGTAATTTCAGAAAGTTATACCAATGGCTTCAAATACATCATTATGAAATTAAAAGATGGTATTTATAGGTATGCCAAATCATAAGCAAAATTATGCCAAACACCTTTTGTCATGTTTCTTAAGGTTCTATATATAAATAATGTATAAAATGATGGGATATTCCTTCATAATCTTTTGAAGTTTCCCATCTGGGTGATTTGGTTCAGTTTATCAAATGTTTTTGCTTGAATAACTTTTGTATATTAACTTTGTGTGTAAAATATACTTTCATTTAATAATTTTGTGCCTTCTTTGTTTTTGTTCCCAGGATGGTGTAGGGGTAGATGAAAAGCTCTCTTTGCGGCGGGTAGCTGTGGTTGAAGATTTCTTTGACATTATCTATTCGATGCACGTGGAAACAGGACCGAATGGAGAACAAATTCGGAAACATGCGGGACAAAAGAGAACTTACAAAGCAGTAAGTTAAGAAACAAAAAAGAAGGCATGGATTTTGAAATTTGAAATTGTATATGCTTGTTAAAAATTGGTTAAATAATTATAAATATTCTACCTTCAACATGAATTAGACCATGTCATGATCACAGCCATCATTTCAGCTGTTACTACTGATTATATTTTGGTCGTATGTTCATTAAGTCTGTTGCATATAATTTAAATCTTTCTCCAGCATTCTTATTTCATTTTTTTCTAATATGCATAAAATGTGGTAATCCCAGTCAAATGCCCATAAATGGGAAGGTGTATTTTTGTTGTATATTAAATATAATGTATATCAAATCATAATATAGGAATTATGGACTGAAACATATAACCTTTTGTACTACCACTATTGTCTTATTATTCCTTCCCCTTCAAATCATACTAATATGTTCAGGTATTTCCTATTTAATACTTACGCTCATGTGGAAAGGAAAATTTTATGTACTTTTCTTATGTCATTTTATATTAAATACATTTGCCTTGAAAGGGTATATGTTTCTTAATTTTCTGGATAGGGTATTAAAACATGTGTTATTTTCATACATGAATGCCCTCAAACATTTTAAAATAAAAATATATGATGTTTTATCATAAATTTTATGTAAAACAGATTTAATTAGCTGTTAGATATTGAAATATATATTGTTATAATGGAGTTTATTATTTCTAAAGTTTCTAGTTATACTTACAGTTTGATTTAGACACTTTAATCTAGCTTTTTATTTAATCAAGTATTTTATGAGATCAGCTTACTATAGATATTTCATCCTTTCTAGGAAAATTGAACAATAAATTATGCTTTTCCAGTATGAGCAAAGTGTACATCAGAAGTACTTTATCAGCAGTCAGAATAATATCCTTTCTTAGGATTTTTATTGAACTTCACTTTTGGCTGCTTTTATATGAACTGTTTCTCAGCTGTATTGATACATGTTATCAGTCTGGATCCATTTTTTTTTCAGATACAGAAAAATGTGTGAAATGCTCAAAGTTTCAAATACAGGTACATATGTTTGAAAATTAGCTACTGAGCATAATAAATAGCTTCTTTTCCATAACTATTTTTTGCTATATTCCCAGGGTCATATTGAATCTCTGTAGCTGCATAACAACCTCTAACACATGTTGTATTTCTCTCTCTATGGTTCTGTTTCTTGGCTGTTTCCAAATTGCATGGTCTGTAGTAGGCACTACTTACATGATTCTGCCACATAAACTTTATTATGACTTACTCTATCTTAGGAGACATTCTTATCATGACTAATGACAATGACCTAACTTCTTAAGATAATTTTACATGGACTAGTATCACTAAACATACTCATTTGCTTGTCTCCTAAGCCAGGGTTATATGTCTGGATATCAACAGGAAAAAATTATATATTGATCTACTAATATCACTAAGTCTGTACTCCTAGGAGAATTGAGTTTCATGAAATAGATACCGGCACTTGATAGGACTTTGTAAGGTAGGAATACATAAGTTCAGTTGCGTTCAAACAAACAAATAAAAAAAATAAGTGGCTTCATTGTCAATAGTAATGTGGCAGCCAAATTGGTTTGGGTTTAAAATGATTTAATCTTTGAAATGCATTTATTAGAGAACTTTAATTAAAATGGAAACATGACATAGACCCAAAACTCTCACCCTGTGTTTTCTTAAATGAAATGCAGGGAAACTGATCCATGGCCATTATGCATGTTAAACACTTCCAATAAATTGGTAAATGTGTTCCCAACAGGTATCATTTTGCATTAACATTATAAAGACATTTTCTGCATTTTAAGTTAAAGATACCAACTTTGAACATAGAAGTAGCACTGAAAACATCATCCATTCTCTCTTGGTAGTGTCCTGTTTGAATATCCTTCTGTTCCTCAAGTTTATTTTTAATATGCACATGTAAAGTATTTTCAGCTTTTCCTCCTATCATGAAGGTTCTTTTTGGCCTTCTGGTATCTCCTAATTGAGTCCTAATTAGGAAACATTTCTATTTTATAGAGCAATAATACATCACAGAAAAAAGCCTGCTGTAATGACAGCAAAACTGGGCACTTGGCTCTACAATGAGTTTAGGTCTAATGTCAAAAATTAATGTAAATGTTCACTTAATGGGGAATAAACTGACTTGAATTTGAAATGGCATGGCTGAGTGCCATTCTGGCCCTAGATTGCTGGATCAGAGTTTAGTTCCCCACTAATGCTAGGAATTGGCAAGTCCTTGCTAGAGTTAGTTACCTGGATAGCTTCTGAAATTCTAATGGTTCCCACTAAGTGTAAGACTTTCTTCTAACACGTTAGACATAGAAAACGCATGGTTACGTTTACTGACCTTTTTTTCCCCTTTTCCTCTATAGCCAAGAAACCATACTTATACAACTAATCATTAAAGTGTGTCATACTGTCTTAATAATATTATCAATAGATTTAGTGGTCATTTTATTTACTTTGCCTTTTTTGCAAATCTTTCTCTGTTTTCACTCTGCAGGAAATGGTGGTTCTTTAATACTGGATTAACGTTTGAATGCTATTTGTTTTTACCTCTCTGCAGTATGTCATTCCTTGAAATATCTAGGCATCCTACAACTTAAATTTTATCACAATCTGATCTGACTATAGCAAAATTGGAGGGTATATATTCTATTACTCATGAGCTTTTAAAAAAAATCCACACAAAATGACACATTTTAGGAATATGTAAAGGCTAGCATAATTATTTTTTTCAGTCATTGAAGTGTACTGTCTTTTTTCCCCCTGGATTTCTCTCTGTCAATATATTAACTGGGGCTGTGCACTGAATGTTTCCTTCGGTATATTTGACTATATTGTCAACTCTTGATTACCTACATCAACAGAGTGGAGAGGAACTTACATTTGAACTTGAAATTTATCTTTGTATTGCAAATTGAATGCAGGTGTGCTTAGCAATTTAGAAAGTCACTTTAAAGTTAATGATGTGACATTGTAAGAAACCAACATGAGATGCTGTCTTGTCTTCATGTCCTTAATTCTTATCAACTTTGGCCAGAACTCCACCTCTAGGGCACATGTCACTCTCCTCCAGCTGTCTTTTATCACAGGCTAAGCACAGCTACCTTTCTAGAAACATTTCTTAAGTTAGGGTTCAATTAGGATATTAAGTTTCTATGCTTTTTCTTGCTACCTGTGAAATAAGAGTGACTGGTGGGCATCCAGTAACTAAGGGGAAAACTGTTCCCAACAGAGTGCAGTTGGCATAGATTTGTGTGTGTACACACACACATGCACAACTTGTAGTGTGATACAGTAAGCTTATATGTGCTGTTCACAGACATAGCTGACAATAATTATGTTCAGTTAATTCAGAGTGGAAAGCATATGCTATAGCTAAATAAAATAAACCAGAAGCTAGAAAAACTCAGTTTCAGATTTCAAATCCGGCCTTTCCTATCTGTGTCATTTTAGCAAATTATTTACTTTCTTCTCATCCTATTTAAAGGGAGTAATGATGTGCATGGTGGGGTCAAGTAAGTGAGTTAATATGCAAAATGTGCTTAGCATATTGTAAACTTTCTTGCTTTTTAAACTCACATCCCCACGGCTTACTTATTTTATGACTGTAAGTTTGTATCTCTTGACCCTCTTCACCCATTTCACCTATGCTTCAAACCCCTTCTCCTCTGGCAGCCACCATTCTGCTCTCTGTATCTATGATGTTTTGTTTTTTCATTTGTTTCATTTCTAAGGTTCTACATGTAAGTGAAATCATACGGTGTTTTTCTTTCTCTGATGTATTTTATTTAACATAATTCCCTTAAGGTCCACCCATGTTGTTGCAAATGGGAAGATTTCATTATTTTTCATGACTGAGTAGTATTCCATGATATATATATAAATCCCATCTTTATCCATTCATCCATTATGGATGCTAAATTGTTTTCCATAATTTTTTTCCAATGTTTTAGCTATTATAAATAATGCCATGATGAACATGTATCTTTTTGTAATGGCCATGATATGAGATGTGAGGTGAGATCTCATGGTTTTGTTTTGCATTTTCCTGATGATTAGCACTATCACAAATCTTTTCATAGGCCTGTATATCTTCTTTGGAAAACATGTCTGACCAGATCCTCTGCCCATTGTTCAATCAGATTGTTGCTTTTGCTCTCATGTTTTATGAGTTCTTATATATTTTGTATTTTAACCCCTTATCTGATATATCATTTACAACTATTTTCTCCCATTCACCAGGTGATCTTTCATTTTTTTGATATTTTTCTTTGCTGTGAAGAGCTTTTAACTTTGATGTTGTCTCATTAATTTATTTTTGCTTTTGTTGCCTTTGCGTTTGGAATCAGATCCAAACTCATCCCCCAGACCCATGTCACAGAGCCCACTGCCCAGACTTTGTTCTAGGAGCTTTGTTGTTTCAAGTTTTACATTCAACTTCAGTCAGTTTTGAGCTAGTTTTGTGTATGGTGTAACACAGTGGTCTAATTTCATTCTTTTGCATATGGCTGTTTACTTTTCCCAACACCGTTTATCAAAGAGATTCCTTTCCCCATGGCCTATTCTTGACTCATTTGTCATAAATTATCTGTTCATTTATGTGTGGGTTTATTTTTGGGCACTCTATTCTGTTACACTGATCTGTGTACCTGCTTTTCTGCCAATATCATACTGTTTTGATTACTAAAGATTTGTAATATAGTTTGAAGTCAGGGAGCATGGTGCCTCCGGCTTTGTTCTTTCTCAAGACTGCTGTGCCTATTCAGGGTCTCTTTGTGGTTCCATACAAGTTTTAGGATTGTTTTTATTTCTGTGAAAAGTACTGGAATTTTGATAGGGTTTACTTTGAATCTATAAATTGTTTGGAGTAAAATGGATATTTTATCAATATTAATTCTCCCAGTCCTTGAGCATGGAATATATCTCCATTTCTTTGTGTCTTCCTCAGTTTCTTTCATCAGTGAGTTATAGTTTTTGCTTTACAG